AGTCAAGTCCCAGTCACATTACGGATTAAGCTATTTTGGCTTAAATGAACAATTTTGACACATTACAGCAAGAAAGTAAGACTTCATATACAAAATATTAAAATGATAAAGATAGTAAAAATTTATGAGGTATTCTATGACTCTCTTGTGTTCACATTTAAGTAATATCAATGTAATGGAGTAAAATAATTACAGGCATCAAAAGCGCTTTGTACCACGAGAAAATTGTCTACAAATCCCAAAGTATGTGTTCATTTTTAAGTGGTATCTAACACAAAAGTAAATATGATACTGATCTTGACCACTTACAGTGACGGCTTTTAAGTCCTGTAAAATAGGATACAACTCCTTCTCTGTTGCAGCTTCAAACACAAGCTGCATGTATTCAGAACTACACAATGAGCCAATACAATCAGACATGTCCAGGCTTGCCAATTCAGCCCATATCCTGCAAATAAAGTCTGGTGGCAACACTGTTTGAAGCTGGGCCTTATACTGCAGCAAAGTGGCCAGGATGTCCAATGAACTCTTGATGGGATATGATTCTGCAGGAATGTCCTTGCTTTGTACTTGAGACAGCTGTGGAGAGAGTCAATAAATTATACATTTTCATCTTTTTATGAGTAAAAATTTATATATGCAAATGAAAGCGCAGTGAATACACAAGAATGATCTCTAACTCTGTTCAGCAAATGATCACAAACATTTACAGTTCTTTGATAATCAGTCATTAGTCACATCTTGCTATTCCTGATTACTTTGTGGAAATGACCATTGCCTGATACGTCAAATTCATTTGATATTTTTAAGGGCCATCTAATAACCCTGAACTCCATTCCTTTTGGGAACTTTAACTTCACAGATATATACTTGTAATATAAAAATTGGTGACAACATGGCTGATGGTACCATTTGATTTGCCATGGAATCAATCGCAAAATATAAGAAAACAATATGACAAAAGTTAACACAACAACAGCATAAGCAAGGCTGAGACTGTAAGTCAGAGCTAATATCTAAGAAGAAGAGTGGGTGAAAGATGCAGGAGGAAGGAATCACAGGATGACAGTTGAGCTGAATATTTACAATCTCACACATGCTGAATAGAACAAACCAAGTTGGTGTTACAAATACACATGCAGAAGCTAAACTGTCTAGCTTTTCGACAGCAGTGGCATTTTTTTATATGCTACAGCATTTCTAACAGACAGCATATCATCGAATTTCTGCGTTTGGCAAATATTCACATTTCTTATCACGCAGATAATCGAACCTGTGTTGGCAGAGGGCTTACTGTACCTATGAAAATGTTTAGTGCCTACATTTCTGATGTTTACTTACAACCCAAAAGATAAGAGTAACTTACACAAGTGTTAATAACTGTACCAAGATGAGGAGTGAGCTTCTCCAGCTGCTTGGCATCTCCTTCCTTGAGGCACTGAATCAACACTAGGTTGAATCCATCAGAGACAACTGGACAACCAATTGCACCATTCAAATCCTGTATTATCTTGATAATGCCTCGTGAAAGTCTGCGTTGGTACTTCAGGCATAGTGAGTGGTCATCCGAGTTCTCATGCTCGTTTGGGCACTAAACAGAAACATAAAAAAAACCTTCCAGTAAGTGGCAAAGTGTTATGGAGTTCTTACAGCTACCAGGAAATTAAAAGCTATGAAGGTCAGATGGCCTCTAATCGCATGATATTCATACAAAGTATCATTAAAATCTGACTACTGGTCAAAAAATCAATGAAGCCATAAGCCCATCTATCCATTTAAAATAATAAATATGAATTAAAATTAGTTTCCAACATCAATTTTAATAGAGGTCAATATGGAACACAGCTCTACAAACAACACTGTTTAGCACTTAATTCCATTGAGGACATGTTTTAAATGTACATATAAATATCTTCATATTCATAATGCACAATATAAATAATCATTTTAATATGACAATATATTGATCTGGACCTAGCAAATTTATCTTTAATGTAAATGTAAGTGTATCCTGACAAAGGCCAACAGTTATCTAGCCAATGAGAGCAATGAAGTTTTCTCTGCCTTGCGTGCACTCGTTACCTTAGTCACAACTTTCAGGAGGGTAACAGATGGCTCCAAAGCCTTCACATCTAGAAAATGATTGCTTGACTGCTTCTGTAGGATAGGAAGAGCATCCTGTAGCTGGGGCAAGGCGGAACTATGACTTAAACATGACTCAAACAACCGCTGGAACAGGAGACAGAGCATATCTCTGGATAGTGGCAGGTCCACACTCATCATCCAGCATGTAAGCCATCCCATATTGAGATAACTACAGATATCAGGTGGCCCAGGGCTGTCCAAAATACCTATAATGAAGAACAACCCATAACTGAAGTCTGAAAATAGGGATGAGGACAGAAACCCTAGCTGTATGACAAAAGCAGAATCCAGCTTTCAAAATGTTGTAATTTTATAAGTTTATAATTTTGACAATGGACACGGTCTAAAAGAAAAATTTTACACATAACAATTCATAAATTTCTTCATTTTTACAGGCTTGCATCCCACACTTCTGCGAGGTTGCTAACAGATTCCTTTCTTCATTTATTCAGCTTCTTCACTGAACGTGTCTGTTTTCTGCAGCTAGGTGTGGCACATTACTGGAATTCCAGTGAAACTGGCTTTCAACCGAGATAAAAAAAGTCCCATTCCTCACTTAAAACACATGTCTGAGAAAAATACAACAACAGATCCTGATCATTAGCACAAGTCTTCATCAATGTACAATGCAGATGGAATTGTAATTTCTATTTATGTAACAGAGGTATAACAAGAAATTTGAATTCTGACCATTCTCATGTATATGTATATATTTTTTTACTGCAATCTCATCTTTACGCTGGTATCTACATTTTCATATAAGTAAACTGTAACAAATGAGGAGACTTTCTGTTTAACTTTCAATAGCCATTACTTTAGTCTTTAATAATAAGGATACTTGATTGAGGACTTCTCACCTAAAAGAAGATTTCTGAATAATAAACTTCTGACATTGGAAAATTGTTCTTCTTCTCTTGACACATCTGACCCCTCTAATGTAATGACCAACGCAATAACACTGACAACTACTACTGATTTCAAAGTGCTTGGTGTGTGCTGTAGAGGTAGCAGCTTCAGAATATGCAGGTACCTACAAGAACAAAAGCCATTGTAATAATAGCAAATGCATTCTGTGCAACATTTTTATATCCAGACAGCATGCCACGTTCTTGCGTGCACCAGCTGGTCACTTTGCAGCACTATCCACTGCAACTCATATTTTTTTAAACCAGCATAATATGAAATTTATTTGAATTTTGTTCAAATTTTCAATGGTTTTATTAAGATATGTCTAGTCTGGCAAAGTATAAAATGTTGTTCTCTGTGTTCCTGCAGGAGATACAGAAGTAGGAAACTGTCATCCTACCACAAATGTGTACATACCTCTGCAAAGCTGCCATATCAAGCTTCCATCCATTTGCAACTGAAATTTCCTTCTCTTTTTGAAAAGCCTCATTTACAATGTTAGCCATGTCTGTCAAAACAGGAGTCAGTGCTTCTGGGTCATTCTTGGACAAACATGAGAAAATCTGAAATGGATCTATCTTAGCCAACACTTCTCTAGCTACTGAGAGGGGGCCAACCTGATGGCCGAGGCTGTCACGTTTCCTCTTAGTGCCAGAAAACAGCTTCATGATGCCCTTCAATGCTGCACAAGTAAATGCTGAAATGAAGAGTCTGGAATCACAAATAATGACATGATATTAACAATATATTCAAAATATTAAAGAATTTCAGAAAAACTGCAATATAATTGTCCTGCAAAAGCAAAATTATAAAACACATGGAAAATGAGACAAGTAGTAGAATTTGAATGTTCAAAACTGTTAATAAAAAGCCCACCATTCACTTCACACAATCAGTGTGTCTCTAAAACATACATCATTATGTTATCCTCACATCTCCATTTTGGTTTTCAAAATAATAACTTTCAAAGATGTCTCCTTATCAAAAGCGTGCCCTGCCTTCTAGTATCCTCTCTTCAAGATATATTTCCAATTTACGGTAACCTCTTAGATGTCACTAAGCTGTACATGCAACTTGTAAACATACAGACACAAGCGTTTTTATAACACTGTCAAATGCAGCATTTGCAACTCACATGCTGCAGCATGTGTTGACTTACATGGACTGTGGACAAAGAACCTGTGACATTTTCATCAGACACATAAAAATATCAGAACTCACAAAATATTATAATATATCTCAGACTATAGATAATCTCCACCATAATTCAGGCATAACATAACTTATGTGGATTCAAATAGGTCTCAGTGTAAAATGTATAGAAAACTAGATTATCAACAGATGATACATTCTATTGAACCTACCTGTTTTCTTGAACACTTGAATTTTTCAATGCATCCAACAATTCTGAACTGGTTTCAGAGTTGCTACTTATCTCTTGCACAATATGATTTGCTAAGCACTCAAGCTGCTCTGGGTTCATAAATGGCACCACCAGCAATGCATTTGTTCCTGTTAGTATAATGGGCCATGAATCCCTGATGTGTGACACCAAATGCCTTGCAGTAGACAATGCAGTATCATGTCTTGTCTTTTTACTGTCCACATACAAGAACACAGCTCGTAGTTTCTGTAAAATCAGCTTCACCTGTTGTGACAGTGCAAAGATAAATATTAAATCTTTCAAGCCCACACAATTTCTTATTTTGTGGAAGACTAAAGAACAGGAGCAATAAGCTGATCACCCCCAGGAAGCACCTTGAGTCCACAAATGTAAACCCAAAAGTTGGGCGAGAACCTTGAGATCTACTACAATAACTTCCTTCCATGTCCTACCAATTTCAAGGTCCATAACCATCCTTCCATTGTACAGATCATTGCAGGATGATCTGTAAGCAGTGCTGTTTGTATTTTGGAGATCCCAGATCCAAATCTCAGCCTAGAGACCAGCTATCCTGACTTAGGTTTCCATGACGTTCTCCCCAGTCCACCCAGACAAATGTTGGAACAGTACCTTAACTTAGGCCACAACCAGTTCCATCCATATCGTTTACAATTAATTAGTCATTAATCATCCTATCGTTTGAAGCTATATAATACGTGCTACTGACAGTACTGTTAAATAAACCACAAAAAAATCTTCCCATTTAAACAACAAAAATACTACAAAAAACTCCATGCAGCAGGGTCATTATTGAGAACATTAATGTTTGCTAGCTTAGTGAGGAAATTTTATACCTTTCATGGAAGCTGAAGATTCATTACTGTGTTCACAAAAGCACACCACTGGTCCCTATCCTGAGACAGATGCATCCAGTCCACATTGTCTTACCCTATTCCTTTCAAACATCCATTTAATATTATCCTTACATATACTACCAGGTTTTCCAAGTGATCTCTTCCTTCCAGGTTCTCCAACCAAATACTCTAAATATTTCTCATCTCTCCCATGTGTGCTACTTGCCCTACCCATCTCATTCTTCATGACTTGATTGCCCTAGTAATATTTAATAAAGAATATTCATTCAAAGTGATCACGTCACTCAAAAAACCTGTTCATGTGTGAAACACTTTATGTATTGATTTCTTATAATAAAGCAGAATTAGCCCCCAGCCTAACCACCAAGCTGCATTAACACCCCTTGTCAACTGTGTAATCACAGTTATTTTGTATATCTGCAGGCTGTTCCCTCCATTTGTAACACATAAAGACACTTAAAATATGCTTATGAGAAACTGCTGATATATAAATTAAGAAACAAACAACTTCCAGCCTATTCTTTATAGCCTACACTGTGAAATGACAATTTCCTCAAATAAGAATATATATTTCTTGGGTTGAAAAAACAGTAATCATAATAGGCAATGTAAAATTATACCAGCAACTCCTTGCAGTCAGCTTCACCAAAGTTGCTGATTCTCTGCGCAACAAGGTTCCATAATTCACTGCACAAATAAGGGTGCAGGTAAGATAAGTTGGTTGCACTGATATCCTCCTGCAATGCTGCCAACTGCAAATTCATATCAGACTCAAGCCTGACACTGTAGCGTATCGACAGTATTCTCAGTTCTCCCCAGTTATAGCACAGCTGAAGAAATGCTACCATCAGCAGGCAATTCTGTAACAGCAAAAATAGATTAAATACAAAAGAAACACTACTAAGACAGTTTCAAAATTTCCAAAAAACAAAAGGAAATATCTAAGTGGCATTCTCATGGCGTCTATTGTTTGCTCCTTTAGTTAAATCAAATAACTCATTTCCTTACATGTTCTCTATGTAGTAATGCTTGTCCTAGCTTTCCAAGCAAATCCTGCAGTCCTGTCATCAAGTTGCTGAACTTTGAAGCCACCTGAGCTGGTACAGAATGATCAGCCACCCGAGTTCCACGGAGAAAGTGACACATGAGTTTGCTGATAATTTGCACGATCAACAGAGGACAATCACCTGAAACAATTGTAATAACATCTCAACACATATTTATGAATTTATTTAGAACAAAAACTTTTCATTGGCTAACTTCTTGGTACAGTGTACATTTTTAAAAGTTTTGAGTTTTTCAACTAATCAAAAAATTCCCTGCCTTTATGAAACCTGAAGGTTCACTACTGTGTTCATAAAAGTTCACTACTGGAACTCCCAAGCCAGGTGAATCCAGTCAGTTCACTACTGGAACTCCCAAGCAAGGTGAATCCAGTCTGTATCTTCACATACTTTTCAGAAAGACCTATTTTAATATTATCCTTCCATCTGTATCCAAATCTCCCAATTGGTCTCTTCCCTTTGAAGGTTATATATCAAACTTCTTGTATACTTTCATGTGCACATGTGTACTACTTGTCCCACCAATCTAATTTTCTTAATTTAATCACATGTACAATATTAGGCATACACTACAAAATTCAGAAGCTTCTCAGTACCTATCCTCCTTCATTATTAAGTTACTTAATCTCTGGTAGGTCTAAATATCTACTACAATTCATATACTTTTAAGATCTAGTAACAAAGTCCGAGGCTCGATATACAGAGCAATAAAAGTACACTGGTAAAGGTAAATGTGCCTTAGAATCACACATCAAGGCAAAGAGTGCACTCAAATGTGAAGTTCCACAAAGCTTTAACTTCAATATCAGAAATAAATGAGAAGTCAGCTTCATACTCCAATCAGTCTTACATTCAGGGAAAGACTAACAGTGCCTATGAAATGGAAAAGTGAGTATGTTCTGAAGTTCTTCCAAATGTGATGGTGAAGAGTTCCACATATAAAATGCATTCAAAATTTCTAAACAACATTAAATAAGACGACAGAGAACTCAAACAACAGACATGTGGAAATGCAAAACACAAGGAAAACAGACGCCTACTCACAAGAACAAATAATTTTTTTTACTGATATATATTTAGTTCACTGTATGTGACAGAATTCAATAATAATGTTCATATTATATGTTTTTCTTGAGAGGTTACAAAACTCAAAAGCCGTTATTGTTATTATTAAGATATACCTCTGTGTTTAACTATTCCAATACAAAAACAGGTGAAAATTAATAGAAATCTTGTCAGCAGACTGAGTGCTAGCTAGATTAACCTCAAATAACTGTTACTGACCCTGAAACATTAATGAATTAGCCCATCCCTTACCTTGTTGTTTCTCAAGAACTGCCACACAGTCCTGGTTCAGGTGAAACATTAGTGTCCGCATGAGTTCGACAGTCTGACCACCGGGCAGCAACCCTACGGCAATCTGGAACTCAGTGCAGAACTCTGATGGCAATATATCAGGTAATGCTGGTAGTTTCTTAACTTCTCTTACACCGAGCGTTGTTCCAAGATTTAACAGCTTTGCCACAAATTTCTGCAGTCGACTAAGTTTTACAAACATCTTCAGAGTATCACAGAAGAAAGTGACATATGCCACTTTTATTTCTTTGGTTTGTTTCTTTGCTAACATCACATGTTCCAAAATCTCACTTGTTTTTGGTTCAAAGATCAGAGGTTTCAAATGTATGAATGCACACATCACTTCTAGTATAACTACAGAAATGGAATCTTCTGAAGTAGAAGAAAACACAGCTGGTATTAATGCTTGTAGCCATTCTTCAAATGGTACCTCATCACTATCATTCAGTGGAATATTGGCATCTGACAAGATAACAAGAAGATTTTTTGTCACTTTCAATGACGTACCATTTACTTCTACAGCTTTCTTGATATGGCATTCAGGAAACAGTTTCTTAAATTTCTTGTGTTTCAATAAACTCTGATAATTATCATCTGAATTGAATTTAACTTCAGGTTTGAATCCGACAAAATAACACAAAGTTATAAACATCCTGTGCACACAAACTGTATCTCCTTTATAACTTGACACAAATGCTTGAAGTACAATAGAAAATAAGTTAACAGTTACATCTGATTCACTGTTAACTACTGCTGATGAAAGACACTCGAAAAGGGTCTTTAGAACAGCACTATGATTGTCAGCATTTCCTACAAAAAGAGACATTAATGCCAAAGACATTTCTCTAGAACGTGACTTAGGAAACAGAACTTGTTGTACACACTTAAATATTTCAAATCTGACATGACTTGCAGCTGAATCTGTCACATGGCAACTGGGTATAAATTCAAGAACTTTAATTATAGGTTGTAAAGTCTTCTGAATGAATAAAACTGAAAAGAGTTCTTTTTGAAAAACTTGTTTGTTAAAGACACAGATGGTTTGCAGGATTCTTGTATAACAGTCAACATTTTCTTCATTAATAACATTTAATATGAGACTGATGTAATCAAATAACTGTTCTAGCTGCCTTTTGAAGAAGTGCTGGAAATTTGTGTTCTCTAGCACACAAACCGCACACTCAAGAACGACACACTTTGAATTCTTGCATATGTTTTCTGATTTCAGAAGTTCACACAAAATCTGGAAATAACACAAGTTGATATGTTATCATTACTTTTCCAGTATATTCTGAATAAGTGGCTTTGCCTGGGACACCCCAGTTGGTAAAACTAGCATTTTTAAACAATTTTTCTGAGTCTTATATAGTTGTATTATTCATTGTTGCCTTTTGACAAATAAACTGAAGCATTTATATGATATTTTTAACCACCTGTAAAAAACAAATGAACAAGGTAGGAAAGGTATTTTCTACCTTACTTTACTTAATTTGTTGACATTCAAATTAATTTATTGCAGATATAATTCTATTATTGAAAAACAAATGTATTAAAACTATCACACTACATAATCTTAAACTACTTTTCAATTTAATACTCAGTCAGTACAGTGATTGCCACCAAGCTGGAGGACCAGAGTTTGATTACTGGTAGGAGGGAAAGATGAGTTGACTTTGTGCCTTTTGCTCGCAGAACATAAGAACTACTACCCTGTGCTGAAGAGAAGAGAATATCATAGCTGTTTTGAGCATACAAAACAGTCTGACCCACAAGCTGTCTACATGAACCTCAGTTTGCTTAAAAACAAAAACTAACCTGAGAAACATAATATTTGACAGGTGGTCTGATGTTAGCACCACTCAGTTTCTTCATGTGACTGCTGTTAAAACAGGCCTTGAGAACAGACCAAATATCCTCTGCATTTCTATTCTTTTCTCCATATTCACACAACCAGTTCAAAATTAGCTCCTCTTTTCGCTGAACTGGTAAATCATTTGATTCAAATGCAGCCAATGCCAACCGAAGTCGCTTTGGTAAAGGTTCCACTTCTTGATCAAGTCTTCTCAACAATTCTGATAAACCATAAACAATATTGTTAGTATTAGCATGACACTTCCAATTACAAACTCCTCTTCTACATGCTTACTTTGTTGGAGACGCTGTTAAACATACGGTGTTATAAATTATATACTTACTAGCCACAAACCAAAGAAAAATTCTGGTAACATCCTCCAAAATTGTTACTGTTGAAACACTATATGCAACAAGGGTAACCATATCCTAACTAGCCAAGCATACCGTTCGAAAAACAACACGTTTCTAACTTAATGCATGTCTCTATAAAATCATAGCATATTTCATGTAGTAAAATAATAGTACATTATGAATAAACTAACAACTTTTGTGAAACAGAAAAACAAACTGATATTAAGTATATTACTAGTACATAACCTTACTTATTATTTTTAACTATTACCAACTCATAAAATTTTACACATTTGCGCCCTACTTCAATCGCATTAAAATTTATATAACTCTTTGAGGACGTTAAAGGATTCATACAGTTTATTTCTAGAATATATAAAAGAACAACACGTGCACATTACCTCCAGACAACGCCATTTCCTACTGGGACCATAAATAATTACCGGGACATCTTCACAGGGCGAAGTAGTTACTTGAACGAAGTACATTCATCTCATAAAAGATGTCGCTAGTCGCAAAGACCCTCGCTCATTATTACGACGTCTACCGCATTAATAACAGATCCTCGCCGCCGTGTGAACCTGAAATCTCACTTGTACTTGCCCGTTTTTTTTATAAACGATGCAGTTGCCTTGCCCCATTTTAGTTTCATCCCACATGCAGATGACTTTAGTGGATACGATACAGGTTGCTTTTCTTACACACACACAGTTTGGCCTTCCAATCGACCTTAGGAAATAAATTATAATTATTATAGTATCTATAATTGGCTCCTGCAGCTATAGAGTTAACATATTAAAAAATCAAACTCAACAACAACAATAATAATAATTACTGTTATAAAAAATTAGAACTTCTGACCAAATGAGATGAACCATTTTCATGTAGATAAAACGTAATTACAATACATCTCAGAAACAGAAATGGAAAACTTTAATCACAGGAGTCTTGCCACTGGATGCAAAAGTCCATAATTCATTTGAACATTGGCCAGGCCACAGCAGGTTTTTATTCTACAATAAAGTTCTGGTTCACATCTGAGATAATTAAGCTAGACTTATTAAAATACGGCTAACAATTATTTATCCCCTTACCTTACATGCCCCTACTCTGCTTTCATGTTTAAGGAGATATTAGTATTAACATATGTAACATTTCATAACACTGTCAAGTAATGTTAGCAGCATGGACTGAACATATCAAATCAAATGTAGCACATTACATATTTTTATTGGTACATTGTTTCTACATGTTAGTGTATACTTATAATCTATATGTACACAGCCATTTTGACAAAATTCACCCACAGATATACACATCTGTACATGCAATAAACATACATGCACACATACATCCTTGTTAAACACACTGGAAAAAATCTCATCAGTAACAATACAATATTTTTTAATATGATTCAACTTCCTGTACATGAGACATCACACAACATTCATATCTTGTAATATCATAAGCTATATGTAACAGACAATCTAATGTATTTGTTCTTTCAATTATTCAACAATTATCATATACAGTGCAAATACAAAACATTTTTACAATACTTTAAATTTATCATTTGTGACAAAAAATTTTCTCATATTATTTGGCTATTTTTATTGGTTGAAAAATCTTGCAGTAAACAGGCAATAGGAGCAATTCCAAACCTTTCCTGTTCTAAAGCTATGAAATTCTATATGTGAGAATTTGGATACTGGGTAGATTTGCTGATGTCATTACACAACTTAAGACATCACTCACTTTTCTTCAAAATAAAAATCTTTTCACAGGCCACATATAGCCTGATGGCCATAGTTTGCTCATCCCTACATTACCTGTGTCAAAAGAGCTTGATGACATTTTTAATTTTTAATTTTTGTAAAATAATGAGCAGAAATGGAATGAAAGAATTCATATCAAAAGTTTGATCACAGTTCTCAATAAATAATATTTTCAAATCTACTTGGAGCAATGAAGATTTTTCAAACAAAAACACTCATGTTTATATGAATTATGTAATAAATTTAAGACAGACTGTATATAGTAAAATGAATATTTCAGTGACCCAGAAATTAGTATTTTCAAATACAATTGCCTATTTTAATCTTATGATATTTTAAATTATTCTTTTGCTGTTCTTTCTCCAGATATGCATCAGTATTCTTGAATACATATCTGTGATGCCTCTTTAAGGTCATGTCTTTTTGTTGTGTGTAAACAGATTTAATGAATGACACATCGCCCTGATGACTTCTTAAACGTTGGTTAACATCGACCAGACTACACAGCGCAACAACCCAGAAGACAGAAATCTTCATACTAATTCATCGCCCTGATGACGGAGGCAGTATGACCTCTGAAACGTTGGTTAACATCGACCAGACTACACAGCGCAACAACCCAGAAGACAGAAATCTTCATACTCACCGCTGTGAAAACCTCAAATCTTACAATGATATCATAAATGCAAGAAATGTCACATTTGTATTCTTTTTCAGACGGTGCTCAGTGCTGTCTAACTTTCAGGTTCTGTTACAATCCCAGTGGGAAAAAAACCTGATAGAATACTCTCATTTCACTAAAATCACAAAAAGTTAAGAAACTGGTAATCTTTGGTAGCTAGGCTTTCTGGCAGTCAATATATAACACAGCAGTCAACAGACTTATATTAATTACAGTTTAAAAGTTATCAACCTTTTGCATGCTGAGATTTTCACCAGAAATACATTACTTTGTTTTATATTTCTATAGTAACTATGTTAAGATCAGTTTGTTTGTAGACACTGAAAATGATTAAGAGTCTGTAGAGATGAGACATATTTTTCCTCATGTTAGTTCTACACTCCAAAGACAATTAAACAGCATAAAAGACTAATTTAAATCATACCATAAAAAAAGGGTTTATAATTTTTGTAACTTTTCAGTTCTAGGATAACACAATATTATGGTTTCTGATAATGTGTTACAATAAACATGACCATTATTGTGGATATTATCTATCAACATAACATTTTGAAAACTGGACCTGTTTCTGTTTTCAGGTATGAAAGGGAGAGATGAAAAGTTCCAGGCCTTCTGAATGAGCTAGTCTCAATTACTGAACCTTTCCTCTTCCCCCTTTCAAACCTGAAGATAGAAATGAATCCAGTTTCCAAAACAATGTATCGAAAAATCTAAGATGATGGACAATGTCCAAATGTCATGTTTGTAATAACAAATGAATGTAAAATAAAGAACATTGCTAAGCAAATCATTCTTGAAGTGTATATGTTCTCTGTTCTAAATAAATAATACAGGACTTCTCATTCAGACTTCTCCAATAACCTTCAGAGGAATGTGGCTGAATTTCACTCTTAATGCTTCTTCAAAAACCAATAAACATTTCTGAAACAAATGTATCTCAATCAAGTTCTAAGCATACATAACTAAAAGTATGCAATGCAACAGTTTTCATGAGAATAAAGTTTTTAAATATCTGTTATGTACAAGTTACATCCAATGGCAGATAGATATATTTATAGCTAGCCAGTATTGTCCCTTTAACATTCTATGTATATTCTAAAAGTAAATTATGATCCAGATAGGATGTCCAAAATCACAACATTAATGTATGTTGGCTACTTCAAAATAATTGAGTTTATTTAGCATTATGTGACAGTCAGGAAGAATTTTAAACAAATAAGCGACAATATTGAAATTTACTGAAAATTACCAAAATAGGGATAGAGGTCTTTACGTGAATCATATATTCATGTTTTCTCTTCTTGTTCCAAAGATAACAAGAGGAATGACTTGAAAAAAAGAGCTAAGCCAAAACAACTGTTGGCCTCCAAAAATTCTGTTTTCCACTTATTAATGTTTCTTACAATTTAAAACCATATATGGTTTATTTTAATTTCACAGTGTTTCTGAATAATGTTTTCTTTGCTAGAACTGCTTAAAGATGATGTAAATGTTTTTAATTTATAGAATATTCTTGTCTGTTCTGGTACAGTAAAACCCCTCAAGTTGGACACCCCTATATCCTGGACACCCCTTTATATTGGACACTTTTAATTGGAACCGGAAAATATCCTATAATTTTACATGTTCACAATATCCTACATCTTGGACACCTCTTTATCCTGGAATTTGAACACCCCTTTTGTTGTAAGTTGGACAGGTTCTTGCACTTACCTTCGATGCTTTTCAGGGAAACTTTTTCAGTTACATATTTTGTTATTTTGAATTTCTGACTGATGAATGCCTCCTCTCTGGAGGATTATCTTATGGATATTGAACCCATCATTGGAATGCATTTCAAGTGTTTAACTATTCTTTTGCTGAACCCTTAACTGAACTACAGTATTGCAGAAGATACAGTTTTAACTCCATCAGTACTGTGCTTGCATTTGAGTTCAGAGTATGTTAATAGAAAATTGAATTTTTCTTTTTGCGATGGGGAAGCAAAAATTGGTGGAATTAACTTCAGAAAATGTTATTCAGGGTGGGGTGTAATGTGCAATGCATGGGAGTGGGCTTCAAAAGATTATTAATAGTATTGTCATTAATTCTTAATTCAAGTAAGCCTATAGTAGTTAGTGTTTGTAAGATCTGTAAGTTGGACACATTTTCGTGGAACCCCAAGTGTCCAACTTAGAGAGGTTTTACTGTACATGAAAACAAGGACGTTATGCATAATGGTTATATAATATTATGTCTGCACTGTATGTGTACCAGGCAGAAGACATATTATTTATGAGTCATGACATTAATAAAGCAAATATTGCACAATATTAGAGAAATGATATTTACACATTTTACATGTAATATAGACCCACTGGTCTATGTGATTGTCATGTCAAATGTTTATTTATTTTGATTACAGTATTTCAGATGATCTGTAATTATGATGGTGTCAATTTCTACAAGACTATACTGCACAGTATCCAAAAAGCTTGTAATTTTGCTCCATATCCATTCATGTATCACCTAGGAGATGAAAAATGGGTCTATGAGCAGCCATAGTGCTGGAACATAATTTCAGTTGAAGGAAATGATAAGACGTCCATTTTTCTGCCAAACAGAACCTGAATTTTAAAAAGCATATAATATATCTTTACACAATAAAAATATTTAACAGTGCATTTTTATTTTCCATTATGTAAATGGATTAAATGAAGTATGTTTTATTTACACATTAAAGTGTCTTTAGTATATGAATACAATTAATAACACACATATTCCCAGATATTTTTGAGTTCTCCAATAGTACAACACAACACAAACCAGACTCAAGGTCATTTTATTTGTGATGCCATTATGATTCATTCACTCCCTAAACATACTAAATTAGAAGACTACCATCATCATGTGTTCATTTCAGTTTATTCTAAACAATCAAATTTGCAGTAATGACCTAATTCTTTGAACCATGACAACACATGGTTCCAATTTATGACCCATACTCAACAATGTAATGTTCATTGTCATTGTTAAAAGATGTAGAGTTTGAACACACATATATGAAGAAAACTTAGCTGCCATTTTATTAAGAACAGTACTTTTATTAAAGCATTGCCATAAAATTCTCATTATTTATATCTTTCAGTCATTATTTCCCCCTGAAATGTTTAAGTGATTTCCTTAATTTCTGTCACGACCCACTGTATGTCTTATCCACCTTTGAAATATATAGCCTTCTGAATGTTTTCCACTTTACATCACTGCTTTTTGTGTTCTGAAACATATAATCTTCTACTCCAACTACAGAAGCTCAATTTACATTTCTCTGCTGGATAACAATAATGTGGTCTTCTTGTATTGTTCTTCTTTCAGCAAAACTTAATTAACACTAGAACACACAACAAACGAAAACACAGCACACACATTTCAGGGAAGTACTGAAATCGTTTTGCAAGGCCAGTAAGAGTAGTCTAAGCAATGTGTAATTTGGAAGCAAAAAATAAATTTATGGTTTAATCTGAATGTGGGTTGCGAGATAATTCCAAAAGTAAAATACTTTCATGAAGTACTCAAAACTATCTAAAACTCCATTAAAATATAGTTTCTTATTCAAGAAAGATGCATTATAATATTTAAATATGTTATGTGGATATAAAGTGTTCCATAATATATGTTCATAAAACATGGAAATTTGCTACACAGGGGAAAAAAACATATAATTCCAAACACAGAGTAATGGATTTTAAGGAACTTGAAAATATAGGGGAATATTCAATCACAGTCTAAGTAAATAATTACCTTATTGTAATTTATAGATATTTAAAAATTTTAAATCTTTTTTATATTTTCTTTATCTTATATAGTAACTGATATTAAAACAGCAAGATGTTCTAAATTTGATTTGTTCAAGTTGTTTATTTTAGGTAGATGTTTAAGATACAGCAGTACTGTACCAAGTTACCATGTGAGCGGCATAGACGTATCATTCTAAGCATTCTTAAACTCAGCACAACGAGGACATGATTTGTCAGATAATTTCCTCCTGGGAAAAAGCACCAAGTATCCAGTGAACAGCAGTGACCCCACAGCCACTGCAAATATAGTGCTTAAGAGAAAATATTTTAATGTCATTTCCATTAATCAAATTCCAATCCAAACAAAAAGTCATCATTGTACTGAAAACTGACATGACTATGAATTTTTATTTCTAGGTTGTTATGATGACTTACCAAATACGTAAAATTTTAGATGATTGTGTTTTTCATTTATTTTTATCACTGAAACACTTTTAACTGATTACTGTATAGTAAAAAAAAATAAAAATATATATATAGACAAAACACATTGTAATGTGTATATTTAAAACCCACATTCATATTAACCAGTAGAAAAGAATGCTATTCACAAACATAACCTGCTGAGCCAAAGGGAATCGAAACACTGTAATATGATACAAGTGATACAGAAATTCTAAGCAGAGAATATAAGATGGGTGGAAAAGTGCCAACTATCTAGCACGTAAAGACAATGGTAACAAAACAGCTTTCTTCTACACATGTCAAATCTTAAATAAAAGTTTAAATATGACATAAAAAGAACATTAAACTAAATATTAATAAACTAAACACAATAAAGTTCTTAGTTAAAAAATACTAATTTTTAACATACATTATATATGTATTTCATACCAGAAAAATGTTTCTTTGTTGTGCTTGAAGAAATTACACTATTCATCTGGTAACTCTGGCAGTATATTTATTTTTAAATAATTCAGAAATTACACCTATCTTTCATTGCAATTCATATCCATTCATCAAATTTGTGAATAGTTTTATAGATAATTATTTTGGTCAATATTTAAGAAAACTAAATTGTGCATAATAATGCTATGATTTGCTGAGAAAGAGAAACTAAATAAATTTCAATAATTCTAGAAATAACAGTGCTATTTATGTTCTTCACTAGAAAATATTATGATAATAGTTTCTGATAAGGAACATATTCAGAATTAAAATCTCTGACAACTTTCACCTGTATATTTACTGGAACGTTTTATGTCTGAAGTAAAACAAAGGTAGTTTATAGAACATCTACAAGCCTTACTTCAGAAACCTGATGTATACATCCAGTAATAATTTTTTAAAATAAAGTTTTTACAGTTTTACAGTAATAAAATGTAATCATCATGGGCCTTCCTGTTTTTGACCTCTACGCAGTTTCTTCCCTTGAGACTTTTGGACAGACTTCGTGTGAACTTCTAATTTTTTCCCATTCTATTTGCCCAGCCCACTTCATCCTTTTCTGTATAATCTCGTTAACAACTGGCTTACTAAGTGTATGAAAAGGAGGGCACATATATGTTTTACTTTGGCAATTAGACACATAATTAATATCTTAATTTTTGATCATGTGCTGGCTTGCCTGTCGGAAAAACCTACTCCTGAAACGTTGTCTGGTAACAAAAAGCATTATTAATCAGAGTCACATAATTACAAGAAACATATGTTGACAATTCTTTATACATGATTTAAACTTAAATACTGAATATATTTGATGTTCTAAGATAGTTATGGTTTTTAAATTTAGATTTATTAAAATATAACAGAATTATAATACATATATTTTATGCCCTTATCAAAAGGTATAACAGAGTAGCAATTTAAACATTGAAGTGTATATTAAAATTAAGTACTATAACATCATTTTTGTGATTAAATTCAGTTTCTAATTGAGAAACTTTGATACGGTATTGATTTTATGCAATAACACAAGACAGTATAACACAAATATTTACTGCAGTATATAATTTTAGGGTCAGTTGATCTGAGCTATAATATTAACAGAAAATGCTCTTTATTAACTTAAATATATGGTCTGTACCTAAATATAAATAATGAAAATGATACACAAAACATATTTAAAAAACTTCATATTTCACAGTACACAGTAATTTTGATTATGTTATTACATTTAGTGTACTGTTATCCACAGTTTCAAAATAGACAAACTTATTCACAAATTTGATTTTGTCATTAAATAATATAAAGAGTACACATAAGATAAAAATAAGAAACTCTGTTACTTATGAAAATAGTATATAAATTACTTTTTAGATCTCAGCCCTTTCAAAACTGTTAGGTTGAAAATGTCCTGACATGAAGTAGTCATTTGTTGTTCTGTGCGGTTGCTGCTGAAAATAATTATCTGACTGTAGATGTTGTTTGGATGGAGATGATGGATTCACTTTGTTCAACATTGTCATTGTCATTGTTGACCCATTGTTGCTAATAGTGGGCACCTGAAGGTCAGCATACAGATTGTCTTTTGTAGTATCACGATCCTTTTTTGTTTTAGTCGCCCTTCCACTGTTGTTGGAGATGTTGCAACGCCGCTGCAAGTCGGGATAAGAAACATTCACATTTGGCAACGTTGTTGGAGGGGGAACATAAAACGAAAAAATCACGGAATCCCCTAAAAGTGAGAGGTATCACTTAGATTTTCCCTGTCTTTTTCCTCTCTCACTTTTGGATGAATTTGTTGATGGTTATATTTGTGTTTTGTGCAGTTGTAAGCTCGGTTCACATAATCACGCCGTAGTGTTCATGTGTGAATGAAGATTCTGCCAAGAGAAAGAAAAAAATGAAGAACAAGAACTCAAGTCCCAACAACAAAAGTATTCCCAGATTGTTAATAGTGCTAAGAATAGTTGTGTGGTGTAGAGAGGTATTTGCTAGTGTGGATAGACTATCAAGCTGTAGGTATGTCATATGTTGGCTGGAGACGACTCTGCCTGGCTGTGACAGTTTTCTATCGTTAAATGCACAAAGTGCATAAAAATAATGCTTAATAGAGAGGCTGTGTCTGTCCATATGATGGAATGTTTCATCTATACTAAAATTTGTTTGTACAATTTAACGTTTGGTTTTATCTATCTAACATAACCTCTAATTCACATGAAGCTCACTAAAATCAATCGAGCTACACAATTTTCTATCCCGGTGGTCTAAAAGTTCAATACTCGGATATAACTTTGTTCACTGATCAATATTGTTTAGTCTTAAGAGAGAGGAAGCATAAAAAATATTAAGAAAATTGTACTATGAGGAGCTTCATAATTTCTACTATTCACCAAATATTATTATGGTGATAAACTAAAGAAGGGTGAAATAAGTTGAGGTTTAATACAGTTGAATTACAGTTTACTTGTATTGATACTCATAACAATATATTTCATAAGTACATTCTTAACTGCCAGCAAAGAAATGAAATTGACTTTACAACAGAACCAACAGCCAGACTTTATCTTTTTCCATGACATATTGTTCTGAAAGCTTATTCATGCACATTTAGGCATGAAAACTGTATATATAGTGTAATAGTTTCACAGTGTAATCCAAAGTGAGATAGGGAGAATATGAGAGTAATGTGAGAGACACGGAAGCACGGTGTTCTACATTCTGAAGCCAGTCAGAAGGTGGAGATAAATTGTGCATTTAGTAAAGTGCTCAATAGAATATAAGCCATCATATCAGTAATTTTTCTGTACTCGCATTCTCAGTTTGCTGAGATTTTAACTTTGCATTTCACAAATACTGACAAGAAATAATAAAAGTATAAAATTTGACCATCTTTGAATAAGGATTGAAACCCATCCAGCAAAGTATTTATTATAGGTTTGATTTCTTTTTAATTATCTAAAGTGGTTCAACATACATCTCACTCCCAAGGAACTTGTGTCCTGTGTTTCAAACACATAAATTACGTAAACACGGGGCCATGACACACACAAACAATTATTCATAACCTTATTGCACAGATGCTTTTGGGAAAATATATACTGCCTTGTTCTGTTTAATGCAGTAGCAAAGACAACAAGTGCGAGACGGCTGTGCGCTGTGCATTAGTGTCAAAGCAGTGCAAAGTAGTGGTGCTGGTGCAAATCCTTGCTTGGTGGTAGTGGTGCTAGGTGCAGTGGGAGCCAAAGCAGTGAGAAAACATCAGTCAGTTTCTCAGCCAGTCAGGCAAATACAGTCATAATGTGGACTAGACAGCCAGACAAAGAACTCTCTCTCGTAACTTCATATTTTTCTTTAAAATTACGTAATGACACATTACCCCATTTTATTGGTAAATACGTAAAATGGGAGACACACTAAACTACAGACCCATTTCTTAAAGTTCATGCTTTACACTTAAATGTGTCGCACTAATCTGTCTGGCAAGACACAATACTTTTTAACACATCACATCACATAATGCAACACAAAAATTATTTGATCGAGCTATTTTCTTTTTTCATAAACAAACAAAAAATGTGGCAAACAAGGCTGAGTTTCTGTTAAGTGCGACTTAATTTTTAAAATTTTATTTTAAATTTGTTTAGCAGGCGGTGACAGAAGGCACACGTGCGGTGGTTGGGTGGTGGTAGTAGTAGTAGTGGTCGACTTGCGGGCAGAACAGTAGGTGGCAGCAGCGGTAGCTGTAGTAGCAGTAGGATGGTGCTACACCCTGGTGGGAGGCTGTAGAACCATGGCGGCGAGCCTCACCTTCATCGCCTCGGGTGAGCCGCCGGTGATGGTGTGGGGTCGCCTGGAGGGTGAGGTGCTGTATATTGCCTCTGCGGGAATCGCTCCACCGCCCCCTAAACCTTGGTTGTCGAGGCGTGGCGTCTTCCTGCCTGCCGCACTGTCTACGTCACTCTTCTCGCTGTGGAGGACACACAAACAATTAATTTTACGCTGTGGGTGTCATAATGACATTACTTCTTATGTGTTGGTAGACAGAAACGTATGAGATAGGTAACAGACAGACAGATTGATGAGGCAGGTAGGTAAGTAGATCGTTAGATAGGCTATAAATACATTTTGACAAGACATAAAATATGCTAGTCTATCCACGGTTCAAGTCCTGATGGAAATATCTTGAGACTGGGAGATTAAACTAGACTTTCGAAATTGGAACTGGGGCAGATTTTTCTCCAAGTCGGCCCACGTCAGCTTAGTCCTCACAATCATCCGTCTGGTAACGTTTCGCACTCATTTTCCATCGACCTTGAGGTCTCTGTTCTCCTCAGTCACGGCTTCATCGTTGAACCTACAGATTGGCTGCACTAAGAGAAAACACATTAATTTGGTGTGAAATATTAAGAAAATTAAGCATATGGGAAGAAGCGAGCGGTGTTATAGACAATCTTACTTCGACAGGGTTAAACTGAGAATAAAATAAAACGGATAAATAAATAATGTGGGCAAAAGTTAGTTTATAATCTTTAAAACACGACTAGCATGTAATTGATATTTAATAACGCGGACCCTACCTAAAAAACCCCGCACCTATTAAAGAGATAGATTGGCTGATGATGTGCAGAGAAACAACAGTTCTTTAAAATGCGTATCAACGAGAGCAGTAAACACACAGAATTTCCCCTTAAAGCGTATTTCGTTTGTTTCTTGAAGGGGGTGGTTGGTGCATGTACTTATGACTGCAAGAAACTGTGCTACCTGAGATAGCGCAGTTCATTATTTGAGACTAACTTGTAAGTTGTAACCAAGCAACCAACTGAAGCTGTCGGTACTGTTTTGTCGGGCTGCGGGCATAGACAGCCGAGGCTCTGAGACAGCTGGGAGTGACCGACACTGAGTGACACCGAGGGAAGTTGACGCACAACCGCAGAGCACATACGAAATGTTGCAGGAAACTTGCTTTCCTCAGGGTACACTCGCCACTCATTACTTCTATTCAGTTCGCAACAAGTCCCATGGTACTGCGTCCGTGTGTCCTCGTCCCCCGCTATAAATATTTTATTTTCATGGACCCAGGTAAGAATCTGAAAACGGGGAAATACGGCCCAGTGACTGTCTTGCCAGGGTTCCAGCACGCTTTGATACTGATTATTTTCAATGCCTTGGGCCACAGGAAGTCTTGGATTATGTGAATTATGACAAAAAAGGAAAAGAAAGAATAATGTGGTGATTAAGTTAGAAATAACTCGAGGAAGAAACGTGAGAAAATGAGAGAAAGATAGAAACAGAAAATAAGATTCAAAAATCGAAGGAAGTAAAGTAAAGAATGCGTTCTTATTTCCAATTTACCAGATTACGTTTATTACCTTGGACTACAAACAATTCTGGATCATGTGAACTAAGAACAACGATAAAGGAGAAACATCGGGAAAGAATGAGAGAAAAGAGAAAGAAAGATAAAAGAACAAAGAAGGAAGGTAGAGAGACAAGAATCAACAAAGAAATAAAGAAAGTGCCTTTCTCTTAACGGGAAACTTTACATTTCTAATGCCTACAAATCTCAATCAATATAGTGACTGGCTAAGGAATGGACGACCGGGTTTCGATCTCCGACTAGTTCAAAGGATTTTTCCTTTAGCCTCTGTGTCCAGGCCGGCTCTGGGGCCCACCCAGTCTCCTATACAATGGGTACCGGGGTCCTTTCCAGGGGGTAAAGCGCGGCCGGAGCGTGACCCCCACCTAAAGCAGAGGTTAAAAATGAGTAGAAGCTATACCTCCTCTCCCCCCAAGCGCCTATATGGCGTATAGTAGGATAGCTTTACGTTTTACTTTACACATCCTACATTTGTCAATCACAAAACTTATTCGTATCCTACAACTTGTTCATATGTGAAGGAATGTCTCCTGGTTCATTTCTTCTATAACTAATTCACTCTAAGTTCTATGTTATTTTGAAAGAGAAAGTTATATATGTGACTAATATAAAGAAGCAGTTTGTAATGTGCAAAAATAAAATATCATTATGCTTCGGTGCCAAATTGTCCATGGAATTTACGTATTGGGGTTAATCTAATTCAAAATAATCTGGTGATGGTGCTACAAGTCTTGAGACGTTCGAGCAGACAATTGAAACAAGGACACATGAAGAATAAGCGAAGGGCAGAAAGAAGACAAATAGAACGGAAAGAAGAAAAACGGCATAAGACAGAAAGAGAGTAACTGAAACGAATGTTGACAAAAAGGAAAAAAGAGAGGGGGAGGGAGAGGTTTTGAGAGGTATCGTGTGGAGTGAGTTTCCACTTTATTGGATCCCTCTGCGACGCTTCTTTGTTTCGGCATTGCCAAGCTAAGCGATTTCCTCCGTGCTGGGTAATGGTAGCCACTCAATGCAATCTCTGAGGGGTGGAACGCCCTTTCATCTCCGTCACATGGGATAACCTCTCCGAAAATATACTGCGCCCCGTCATCTTCTCTCGGGAAAATCCTACGACACTCACTTGTCCGAACTTATGAAGTTCTGGGAAGAAATATTTCCCTTTAAATGATTATCATCGGCTGGGCATGTAGCTCGTGTAGATGACTTGACTCATGGTTTACTTAATGCCTATTTGGACTGTACATAGCATACCGAGTCGAAGAAATTACGCTATTTCAAAGCATTTTATTTGAGGGACCTAGGAAAATGACACAGACTCTCAGTTGGGGGCAAAAATTGGCCAGATTCGTTAGTAGACATCGCCAAACCCGAATACACTTCTGGTGCAAGGGAAATTAGGTTGTACAAAATAAAGTAAACATATGTTGTGTACTCACCTTTCTAAATCGGTAGGTCGAAAATCACCTCTACCTGCAAACATAAATGGAATAAATACAACAGAAACTGGAGTGGAACGTACTGCAAATTCTACTAAGTCACTGATTGCCTAGCTGTAGCCTGCATGTCCATATTAACTGCTCGAAATGTTTCAAAGAGCTCGCTGGCCAGAAGAAAGAAAGAAAGAAAGAAAGAAAGGGAAAGGGAAAGGGAAAGAATGACTAGAATTAAGATTTCATGAAACCCATTCATCATCAGGCCACACGCAGCTTTCTCATCGCCCTCATAATGGAGGTGGCAGGTACCTCTGAAACGTCGGTAAACTTGATCATATTAATGGGCACAAGAAACCAGAAGACAGCCAACTTCACACTAACCGACGCGAGAACCTCAATTCTTACAAGGTTCGATAAAGTTTAATTCCAAAGAAATTATGATATTAACGTCTTAGAATCACAGAAGGTCTCAAACTTGATTTGATAATCATATAAAAATAACATTAATAACACGTTAATACTGAATTTAACTTTAACAGCGTATTGATTTAAACATGAATTTCGGCAGGCATATCGACAGAAATCTGAGAGACAGGGCTTGAACACACAGATGCGTTAAATATTAAACATAATGTTACTACCCAAGTAATAAAAAAAAATTTGTTTTCACAGAATTGATAAGGGGAAATATGAAATTCTACGACGGAATTTTTCTATTAATTATTAGTCAGTTCATATAACGACAGAGCATCAACTGCATCAGTTATATAACGATGCAAGACGGAATTATCACAAACAGAGCATGACAACAGAGGTTATGATATTCTGAAGGCATCATTACAATGTCTGCCCGAGTAAAACAACGAAACTCTAGGGAACGGATAGTCAGCATCTGTGCCGAAATTAGAAATCAAAGAAAGAAACCATGGGTGCTGCCACCTACAAGGCAATCCAGCGGGTTGGTGCAGAAAAAAATTCTAGGTTTTTTTCAGGAAGAAGCGTACGCGGTAAGAATATCTTCCAGGTTTCTATACATTCCTTCAGCGCCTCCAATAAAAAACCCAAACATCGTGGAGCAGTTAAAGCTCCTCACACATATTCGGGAAGTCTCTGTTTCAAATCTCCGTGAGACCGGATATTCTGGGGTTTTCACGGTTTTCCTCAGTCCATCCACAAAACTGCTGGGACAGTATCTTGAAGAATATTCCTACAATATTTCCAATTCATAATCATTCTAAGTGAGGCTATATAACCTAGGTATTTGATAAAGTCTAATTAAATAAAACACAAATCCAATAATAACCGGAATGATTCTATCCAAATAATTTCCGATCCGATATTTTCCTATCTCACTTTAAGTTGTATATAACCCCTGTAATTTAAAATAGTGTCGTTACATAACCATGTAAACAATCAGTAAAGTACGATGCGATGTTTGGATTGAAAGAGGCGTGCGCTTGTGGACTTAAACGATTTCAGCTCTGAAGCGTTTCCGCGTATCGTCTGAAACGGGTTTTCGAAGAAGGCAAAGATGCATGTATTTTTCATATTTTACAAAACACGACCAAACAGAACGCCATCTTTATCATGCTCCTTCTTATCGTTCCTCTACTGGTAACGCCACTTTTATTCAGCTGTACTTCTCACCTTTTTTCCTTGCACACTTCTTGGTCCATTTCCAGCCTTTACGCAAATCTCGATGCAGCTTTCTAGAATTCCGTCTATTTTTGTTTCCTTTTCTGCTTTCAAACCTTAGCTCTTCCTTTAAAAATATCTCCGACAACACAGCCCTTATTCTGCTGTTTTTATCATCTCTCCCTCCCGGATAAATCCGGTCTCTGGTACGAATTTTACTCCAGAATTTACTGCTTACAGTCTCAATTCTGAGCTCTGATGTCACCTGCAAGTTGTCCAGGAGAGAAAGGAGCATAAATCTTATCTGATTTTGTTTCTACTCGATTTCACTCAGAGAAACACAGGACGAATCAAAAGCATGCGTTGATGTCGTGGTGAATATTCTAGTTCCGAAAGACTAAAACTTAATGGTTTTCATAATAACCAGTAGGCCTATATGTCAATTAAGTGACTGTGGGTTGGATTATTTGCAGTGGAAGAATTTTTTTCAGCCACCATGGCTGGCTCTGAGATAAACTGGATACAGGGAAGTCTTTCCTCAGGGCGAAGAAAGGGGAGCATAAAGCTGACCATTTATCCCCACCCAGTTCAGAAGTTAACAATGAAACTTTACTCTCACTGCTTCTTTTCGCCTTAATAGAGGATGTTTTTGTTTATGGACATTTATAAAATTTTGATACAAACAGGACTTAGGAGAAATAGGAGACAAGATAATGGAAGCAGTTACAACAAGGGATTCATTATTTGCTATTTGAGGCTCAGATTTGAGACTTTCGAAGAGAGTTCCCGTCCATTTAACTTGAACTTCCCCCAGCTTCTAGGGCGCAAAGATGTCACGAAGTAGAACTCTTCACAAAGGCAGTTTTTAAGACAAGAGGGGTGAAATGAGCTAGATATAAATAGACAAGAGGGGTGAAATGAGCTAGATACGTAAGTTGCGTGATGAAAATAAGAAATACACTCAGAATTTTAGACGGAAAATAATTTATGCTCTCTTTATCCTTATTTGCTATTAATTGTAGTGGGATTTATCTCTAATAATATAATTAATTCACTTTTAGATCTATACTTTATTCTCTATCACAATTTTATTCATATATAAATTGTTTGTCGGGAGTAATTGCTCTAGTTTTCATTGTTTAAATTTTATTATTTAAATTATTTGTTATTTAGCAGGTATGTATCTTTCTGGAAGTTATATTTTGTATTTACTATAACTGTTGGATAAACAGCAAAAAGAATATAAAGTATATAAGCCCTTCTAAGTAATTCTATAATGCTGAACCATTTTGAGCAGTTAAAATGTATTAAGCTGGTCAAAGAAATTCCGTGAGGTTTGCGGTTGTCTCGGCGGTAAAGATACCGGTTGGTTAGGTTCTCTGAGTTGTGACGCCCTGCGGTCTTGTGG